TCCCGGAGCTCAGGGGGAATTGCCACAACGTGCTGATTCCCGCGCTGCGCCCGCCGGTATCTGGTTTGTAATAATTATAGATTTCCTCTGTGAGTTGCTCCTATTGGTTGCCTCGGCAACGGCGTAATAGCCCCGCTGAAGCGCCGTCGCGGTGATTCAGAACCCACGTGCCTCTCCCGCAGCCTCCAATCCGGCGCCCCCGCCCCTTGGCCGTTGTCGTGGCAACTGATGAGCAGCTCCGTGCCCCCCTCACACCCCCTCCCCACCTTGTGATCGTCCCCACTTCCTCTTCTGGGCCCCCGTGGGCTGCGGTGCCCCAGCTCGGAGACGTGGGGGCGCTAGAGCTCCCGATGCCCGGAGGCTCCTCCCCCACGCCCGAAGGGGGTCAGGCGGCACAGGCCTCCCTGCGGGAGCCCTAGACCCCCACCAGGGCTGCGGTTGGGTCTATCGCAGCAGGGCCCTGGGGACGCCAGCTAGGAATCTGAAGCCTTGAGTCACTGCCTTGTCCCTTGAGGGGCTCCCGAGCCCGTCAGAAAAATCTGGGAGGGGACCCGCGGAAGGAAAACGGGGAGGGAAACAGCCCCTTTCAGAAGGTCCGAGAGGTCACGGCTCATCCTGCCTTAAACCGAGCTGGGCTTAGGACCCGTTTCTTCGAAAATCTGTGTGTTTCCTGTGTGTTGTCTTTTCGCCTGCCGGTTTCTTTGTTCCTGGGTGAGCCTGTTCCTTCCTGTGCCGGTCTGAAAGCCCCTCTGTCTGAATCCATCCTTCAGTCTCTGCACTCCCGGCTCCTCCTTCACCTTCTCGCCGTCCTCTCCCGCCGCAATTGCAGGGAAGCAGCTGAGCGCCCCCTTTTACCAGTCCTGCTGGGCTTCCCAGGGGCCCTTTTCTCTCCTCCACCCGCGTCCATGTTCTGGGCACTGCCGGGAGGTCCAGAGCACCCTTCCAAAGGGGGAGTTGGCCCCCGGCGGCACCTCTTCCCATGAACCCTGCAAGCCATGCGCCTGGGCTCAGCAGAATGACATAGAAGAGGCGTTGCACACAGGCGAGCTGGGCTTGCTGCCGGACCGACTCCAGGCACCGTGAGTGCAGGTGTGTGTGCGTGCGTGTGCGCCTGGGTGCATCTGTGTGTGTGTGTGTGTGTGTGTGTATCTGCCAGCATGTGGAGGCGGCGTGAGTGTGTGTCAGTGGCTGTCATGTGTGGTGTTGGGGTGTGCAAGTGCGTGTGCATACACCTGTGTGCAAGTGTGGCTGTCTATGTGAAGGACACACAAGGGTCCATGACAGATTTTTCAAGGATGCGTTGTGGAGAGAACACAGCAGCATGAGTGAGGACGAAATCACGAAAGGTGGTGTAAAAGCGGCCGATGAACAGTGTGTGTTTATCAGCAGGTTTGGGCCTCACAACCTGTGTGCGTGGGGTCCCAGGATGTGACATGAGGGTCACCTTGGAAAGACATTTTTGCTCAAGCCCCCAGATAAATTCTTTCCTTCCACTCTAAGAGCTAAAACAGATAACCCTTTTCTCCTTGAACCTCGGGGGAATGGATGTATCGGTGCTGTCCGTGGGCATTTCAGAAGGATTCTGCAGAGAGACCTCAGCTGGGGACCTGGCCGGTCCCCGCCTGAGCGGTCGTGTGGGAGCTCTGGACAGCGGCCACTTCACATCCTGCGGCCACTTCACATCCTGCGGCAGACGGGAAGTTCATTTGAATTTATTCATAGTAGCAGCCCATGCTCCAAGAGTCAGTCAGGAGAAAGCAATTTTAGAAAATTAAATTTCATTTGCAGGGGAGACATGGGGACCCTGACAGTTGCCGCTGGAGATGCCACCGTCGGGGTGGGCAAGCCAGCAGGCCAGTCGCCTCTGGAAGCCCCCCCTTCTCCCCCCCGTGCACTGCCTATCCCTGGGAAGTGCTGCTACCAGTCGCTCTGGGTAAACGCTGACTGTAGGGCAGGCCGTACCCGGGAACCCTGGCAGAGAACGAGCTGGAGACAGGACTAGCCTCAGGAAGCTTCCAGTCCAAGCAGGGACAGATCGATTGCACGCCGTACCCTCACACTCAGAGACGGTACGGCCAGCCACGCATCCCCAGGGCACCGTGCTTCCTCCTGCCAGGGCCTCTGTCTGCCACGGCCAGCTCTGTTCACCTGCCAGAACTCCAGTCATCTGTCAGCACCCTCTGTCACTGCTTCCAGGAAATCTCTACCTTCCACGTGTCCAGCTGGCGCCATACGCCCTCCCCACTGCCCCAGGTCCCTCAGGCCTCCCATGTTGTGCATCCTACAGGCCTCTTTCCCCACATTTGCCCATGAGCGGCCGTTTATTTTGCAAGGACATAAAGAGCAATATTGATGCAAATGCAGTCAAAGTCACTGGCCAGGATTTTTTTCTTTTTTTGAGTTGGAGTCTCACTCTGTCACCCAGACTGGAGTGCAGTGACACGCTCCTAGCCACCACAGCCTCAACCTGCTGGGATCCAGTGATCCTTCCACCTAGGCCTTCCAAGTCGCTGGAACTACAGGCACGTGCTACCACACCCAGCTAATTTTTGATTTATTGTAGAGATGAGGTCTCGCCAAGTTGCCCGGGTGGGTCTCGAACCCGCAGGCTCAGGCAATCCACTCGCCTCGGCCTCCCAAAGGACTGGGATTACAGGCTAAGCCACCGAGCCCAGCCTGACCAGGATTCTTTTTTTTTGAGTTGGAGTCTCACTCTGTCACCTAGACTGGAGTGCAGTGGCTGCTCCCGGCCACCGCAGCCTCGACCTGCTGGGCTCTGGCGATCCTTCCACCTTGGCCTTCCAAGTAGCTGGAATTACAGGCACGCACTACCATGCCCGGCTGATTTTTTTATTTATTGCAGAGATGAGGTCTCGCCAAGTTGCCCAGGTGGGTCTCGAACCTGCGGGCTCAGGCAATCCACTCACCTCAGCCTCCCAAAGTACAGGATTACAGGTTGAGCCACCGAGCCCGGCTCTGACCAGGATTCTTAAAATGTCAGTCTTAAAATTAGGTAGAAGGGCTGAGAAATGGTTCCAGGGTAAAAGACATGCAGCATCTGTGGGCCCAAATGTAGTTTGAGCCTGGGACGGAGCCTGATCAGGAGAACAAAAACAACCACAAAAGACATTTAAGGGACAGGTAAGAAAATCTGAATATTGACTGTTTTGTTTTGGTTTTGAGTCAGATTCTCACTCTGTCACTCAAGCTGAAGTGCAGTGACACAATCACAGCTCACCACAGCCTCAACCTCCCCGGTTCAAGCAATTCTTCCACCTCAGCCTCCCAAGTGCCTGGGACTACAGGTGTACGCCACCACACTCAGCTAGTTTTTTTTGTTTTTTTTATAGAGACAAGGTCTCATTATGTTGCCCAGGCTGGTCTTGAACTCTTGGATTCAAGTAGTCCTCTCACCTCAGCCTCCCACAGTACTATCTACTATATATCAGATAGTAGTATTTTATCAGTGACATTTCCTGAAAGTGAAATACTTTGTATCTGATAATTTGTACTGAGGAGAATGTCCTTGTTCTTAGGAGATACAGGCTGAAGGATTTATGAAATGAGAGTGGGTACAAAACGTGGCAGAGTGTTACTAATTTGTATTTCTAGGACTATAGGTGGCTGTTGAATTATGCTTATAACTTTTCTGTAGGTTTAAACATTAAGTGACCGCTGCATGCTGGACAATCTGCCTAGCTGTGTGCCTGGATTATCTCATTTAATCTTCAGAGCTGCCTGGAACAAGAGAGCTCTATCATACCCATTCTCCAGTTAAGAAAACAGAGGCAGAGCCAGATTCAAGTCCAAGCTCTAAGCCCACATTTTGCCCCAACCCCTGTTACTATGAAATTACTAACGATACTAAACAGCTGTGTGATGTTGGGCAAATCACTTAACCTCTCTGTGATCTGCTCCTTTTTTGCTTTTTTGTAAAAGTAGATACTAATAGTGTCTACTTCAGAAGTTTCTTCTGAAAATGAAGGCTGTTATTATATATAAAGAACTTGGGCCAGGCGCAGTGGCTCATGCCTGTATTCCAGGACTTTGGGAGGTGGAGGCGAGAGGATCGCCTGAGCCCAGGGGTTCGAGACCAGCCTAGGCAACTTGGCAAGACCTCATCTCCACAATAAATCGAAAAAATTAGTCAAGTGTGGTGGCGAGCACCTGTGGCTCAGCTACATGGAAGGCTGAGGCGGAAGGATGACCTGAGCCCGGCAGGTTGAGGCTGGAGTGGCCATGAGCGTGCCACTACACTCCAGCCTGGGCAACAGAGTGAGACTCTGACTCAAAAAAAAAAAAAGAGCCACAGATTTGGCCCCAAGTCAGTGATCCGGAAGTGTTTGCTGTCACCATTGCTGTTGTCTTTGTTGCTGTTGCTGTAATCCCCTCACCCCCTGCCGTGGCCAGTGATGGATGAACCCAGAGGGTCTGCCTCTTCCCTCCCAGGCCAGCGTCATGTGTGGTCACTAGGACCCCACCCAGAAGAGCCCCATGCTCGACTCATTGCTCTGCTGTCCCCAGCTTGTAGCTCATAGTCATGTTTTTTGTTGTTGTTGTTATTTTCTGTTGTAATCTCACTCTGTCACTCTGGTTAGAAGGCCTCCCAAAGTGCTGGGATTATAGGTGTGAGCCACCATGCCCAGTCCACAGTTATGTTTTGCCAAGAGGCCTCCACTTTTTGTTTTTTGCTCTGGGTTCCACAAGTCATGTCACCAGCCCCGTCTGCACCCCCTTTGCTCTGAACCCTACTGAGCCCAGCTCCTGGACTCAACTACCTGTTCCGTATCGAAGCTGCCAACAGGCCCAGGCAGGCCGGGGGCATCTCAGCAGAGGCCACTGTGTGTCCCTTCAGCCACACTCCAGCCCTGACACGATCCACTAGCCCGCACCATCTGGCACTGTGGGCTGCTGGTCACATCTGCTGCTGAGCTCTCAGGGTGAGGCTGGCCCAAGCCCAGATGTGCTGAATGTGACATTCACACCAGCTTTGAAAGACGTAGCATGCACAAAAAAGAATGAGAAATTTCCTATTAATAGCTAAGTATTATGTGTTGACATTGTTATATTTTTAGATATGTGGGTTTAAATAAGATACACTATTAAAATTGATTTAGTCTGTTTTTGCTTTTTTTTTTCCATGTGGTGACTAGAAAATGTAAAACTGCCAATGTGGCTCACATTTGAAGTTTGCATTGTATTTCTTTCTTCTTTTCTCTCTTTTTTTAAGAGATGGGGCCTCACTATGTTTCCCAGGCTGGTCTTAAACTCCTGGCTCCAAGCGATCTTCTTGCCTTGGCCTCCCAAATTGCTGGGATGACAGGCCTGAGCCACCGCACCCAGCCGGAGGTCTCCTTTGATCCCACCTTATTCCCAGCACAGGGCTGGCCTGCATATTTGCAAACCTATTCCTCAGCCTCCACATCCTCAGCTCCAGAATGGAGATTCTTCCCCTCCAGGTGCGCTGTAATAACTTCCAGGGAAACACATACCTGTGCAGTAGAAGTCACATAAGCACACTCACTCACCTGAACCTTCCAAGTTCACCCTAGAGGGTGCCTCTTGTGTGTTTTTTTGTGTCGTTTCCCCTCCAGGATATTTTAGCTCCTTAGAGCAACCAAGAAAGAACCAGATAGGGAGTGCTTGTAAATTCTCTCCTGGCTCTGGTTCTGTGAGCCAGATGCTCACACACCAGAAGAGCCATCAAGGGAGTGAAACGCAAGAAGGTGGCCTTAGTTTTGGACAGGCAGGTAGGTGAGGTGGGTCCTGGTCAGTCAGCTTGGCCCCCTCCCCAGCCCCTTCCAAGGACTTGAAAGGAAACCATAGGATGCAGGCTTTTGCAGAGGTGACTCGTGGTCGAAGCACTCAGTTCCATGAAGGACAAGAAGCCTTTGTTGAGCCTTCTCTGGGTATGACATGGTCTTGAGGGTGCCAAGATGGACCAGTCACTGGCTGTCATGTTACCTATTATCTTTTTTCTTTTTCTTTTTGAGTCGGGGTCTCACTCTGTCGCTCAGGCTGGAGGACAGTGGCACGGTCACAGCTCATGGCAGCCTCGACCTCCTGGGCTCAGGTGATCCTTCTGCCTCAGTCTCCTGAATAGCTGGGACTACAGGTGTCACCATGCTGGGCTAATTTTTTTATGTTTTGTAGAGACAAGGTCTCGCTCACTATGTTGCCTAGTCTGGTGTCAAACTCCTGGGCTCAAATGATTCTCCTTCCTCGGCCTCCTAAATTGCTGGGATTACAGGCATGAGCCATTGTGCCCAGCCTGCTAACTGTCTTGTGTTTATTTGTTTTCTCTTCCACTGGAATGGAATGTGGAGAGTTTGCCGTCTGGTTCTACCCTCACCAGGTCCTTAGGATTTAGTCCTGTGTCTTCAGGCAGTAGGTGATCAGGAGATACCAGGGCCTCACAATGAATGAATGAATGAAGTCCACAGGCTAAAAAGAGACCAAGAGATGTGGACACATTACACGGAAACTGTAAATTAATATGTGAAGTCTACAGAGATCCTAACACAGCAAATGTTGGTAATTGTAGAAGCTAGACGGGTATAGCCGAGGTCACTTGGCTATCCCGTGTGTCTGAAAATGTTCTTTCTTTTTTGAAATGTTATACTCAGGAGGTGCACGTGCAGAATCATTGCATGGATGTATTGCATAGTGGCGAAGCGTGAGCATCTAGTGTACCTGTCACCCAAACAGTGCACATCATACTCAGCTGTACCCTTTGCTGCTCCCTACTTTCAGAGTCCCCAGTGGCTATTGTTTCCAAGTATAGGCCCCAAGTACCCGTGTCTAGTTCCCACTTTTAAGTGAGAACATGTGGTATTTGGTTTTCTGTTTCTGTGTGAATTCATTTAGAATAATGACCTCCAGCTCTATCCATGTTGCTGCCAAGGACATGATTTCATTTTTTTCTTTGAGTTGGAGTCTTACTCTGTCGCCCAGGCTGGAGTGCAGTGGCATGTTCACAGCCACCGCAGCCTCAACCTACTAGGCTCAGGTGATCCTTCCGCCTCAGCCTTCCAAGTAGCTGGAACTACAGGCATGCACCACCCCGCCTGGCTAATTTTTTGATTTATTATAGAGACGAGGTCTTGCTAAGTTACTCAGGCTCGTCTCAAACCCGTGAGCTCAGGCAATCCTCTCACCTCGGACTCCCAAAGTTCCTGGATTATAAGCGTGAGCCACTGCGCCTGGCCTATGATTTCATTCTTTTTTATGGCTGCGTAGTAGTCTATGGTGTATATGCACCACATTTTCTTTATCCAGTCATTTGTTGATGGACACTTAGGCTGATTCCATGACTTTGCTATTGCGAATGAAAATTTTCATGATTCAAAAAAATGATAAGTTACTAGAGAAATACAGATGATTGGCCTCTAACCCTTAATTGAGGGTTAGGAAGTTTCCTGGAGGAGGTGATGAGAAGTACCCCATGAAAACATCCACAGGAATTGAGAGAATGTCAACAGGCGGAGGCAGGGGCAGGAAGGACATTCCAACAGCCAGCACTGTGTGAGCTTCTCGGTCAGGAGATACAGCCAGGGGAGGTGGTAGCAGGGGGTTGCTGTGTGTCCCACTAAGCAGCTGGGCTTTATCCTGGTGGTAGCTGGGAGCCAGGGAATGTTCAGCAAGAGAGTGGCTGTGTCCATTTTGCTATGCAGAAAAAAATGAAATGGTTGAATGAAAGCCCTTGAGCTGTTCCTGCCACCCTGCTCTGCTGGTCTGGGGGATGGATGACTGGGGCTCCTGTCCTTTTTTTTTTGAGTTGGGATCTCACTCTGTCAGCCAAGCTGGAGTGCAGTGGCATGATCATGACGCACTGCAACCTCGATCTCCTGGGCTCAGCTGATCAGCCTCCAAGTAGCTGAGACGACAGGCATGTATCACTATGCCTGGCTAATTTTAATTTTATACACACACACACACACACACACACACACACACACACACATCTTTTTTTATAGAGATGAGGTCTTGATATGTTGCCCAGGCTGGTCTCGAACTCCTGGGCTCAAGTAATCCTCCCACCTCGGCTTCCCAAAGTGCTAGGATTACAGATGTGAGTCACCGCTTCCTGCTGAGATTTGTTTTTTTTTTAACTTAGTTGTTTTTCCCTAAAAGTAACAAGAAGTCATACAACGGAAGCATTGTTCTCAAAGTGAAGGTAGAGAAGGCCTCCTGATGAAAGCCAGGTACCCAGGTGGGTGTGGACACCTTGATAGGCTACCCCTCCCCTCACAGAGGATGCTGCCCCAGGGTAAATTCTGTCCAGTCGTGTTTACTGCAGAGATTTGTCTCTGTGTGGACAAAACATGAGGGTAGCAATCGATCCAGGGCATTGGTGGGGGAACAAAAATAACAGACTCTTCTGTCTTCGGGAGCATCCTGGACCAGCTCTCTTCCCCAGAGGGGGCCCCATGGCCCAGCCCAGAGTATGGCCCCACTCCCTTCGCTAAGCAAGTTAAAGGGCATAGCTGGCTGTGGCTTCAGCGACTCCTGCCATCTGCCATCTGGCGTCGTGTCCACGGAAAGGCTCCATGCACTGCCTAAGCGCTTGTGTTTTGTGTCTCATCAAAACAAGCCGCCAGATGGGGGAGAAGGACTGGGTCTGAGGCCCTTCAAAACCAGCACAAGTGCCTTCCAGAAGGCCTGAATGCTTGGCCAGGGTGACGTGACTGATGGCTGTGACGCCCACATCAAAAGCCAAAGTGGACCGGGTACGATGGCTCATGCCAACAATCCCAGCACTTTGGGAGGTACAGGTGGGAAGATTTTCGAGCCCAGGAGTTCCAGACTAGCTTGGGTAACATAGCGAGACCTCGTCTCTACAAAAATAAAAAATAAACTAACCAGGCGTGGTGGTGCACACCAGTAGTCCCAGCTATTCGGGAGGCTAAAGTAGAAGGATCACCAGAGCCCAGGAGGTTGAGGCTGTGATGAGTGGTGATTGTGCCACTGCACTCCAGCCTGGGCAAAAGAGCGCGACTCTGACCCTAAAAAGCAAAACAGAAAGCCAGGGTGACATCTGGGCATGGTAGCTCAACCTTATAATCCCAGCACTTTGGGAGGCTAAGGCAGCAGGATCACTGGAGGCCAAGAGTCTGAGACCAGCCTGGGCAACATAGTGAGACACTGTCTCTACAAAAAATTAAAAAATTAGCTGGGGGTAATGGCACACACCTGTAGTCCCAGCTATTGGGGAGGGTTGAGGTGGGAAGATCTCTTGAGCTCAGGAGGTAGAGACTGGAATGAGCTATGATTATGCCATTGCACTCCAGCCTGGAGAGCAGAATGAGACTCTATCTCTTTAAAAAAAAAAAGGTCCAGGATGAGCCTGTCTGATTGGTTGGAATAGTTTATGACAGAAGACGATAGAGACATAGACAAACTGGGATTTTTTTTTTTTATTATATCATTGACCATCTAATGCTTTTCTGCTTGAAAATGTTTAAAAGGTTGACTCAAATAATAGAAAGCTAGAAGAGGTAAGCTACCTCTTTATCATAGATTCATGTTTAAAACATCCATTAAACATTCTCCATTACCTAGAGCTATGAAGATGTCAGTTCTTCTTTTGAAGGATTGTCTTAGTCTGTTTGGACGGCTATAACAAAATACCCCAGGTGGAGTGGCTTATGAACAACTGAAAGTTATTTCTGTGCTGGGCTCAGTGACTCAGGCCTGTAACTCCAGCACTTTGGAAGGCCAAAGTTGGAGGATTGCTTGAGCCGGGGAGTTCGAGACCAGCTGGGCAACATAGCAAGATCTCGTTGCTACAAAAATTTTTAAAAACTAGTTGGGCAAGGTGGCACGTGCCTGCAGTCCCTGCTGCTTGGGAGGCTGAGACGGGAGGATTGCCTGAGCCTAGGAGGTTGAGGCGGTGATGAGCCGTGATTGGGTCTCTGCACTCCAGCCAGGCAACAGGGCCAGACCCTAACTCAATAAAAAATAAAAATAAAAGAAAGCTCTTCCTTACAGTCCAAGATAAAGTCACCAGCAGATGTGGTGTCTGGCGAGGACCGGCTCCTTGGTTCGTAGATGGTGGCTTCTTGCTGTGTCCTCATGGGGTGGAAGGGTCAAGGGAGCTCTCTGGACTCACTTTTATCAAGGAACTGATCCCATTCACGGGGTGACCTAATCACCTCCCAATGTCATCACACTGTTATTTGGTTTCAACTTATGGATTTGGGGATGACACAGACCTTTGGCCTGTTGCGAGAAGCTCACAGCCCTTTGAGTGGCACCGGGGTCCTGATGGAACTTGTTCCTTGCACTCTGGAGGGGATGGGAGACGAGACTTGGAGTGTGGGGGACGCGCCAGGTGTGGGCCGAGGCTGGTGAAGGCAGTCACAGGCCCGGAGGGATGAGTGTGTAGCCGAAGTGAGTCTTCAGGAAGCCGCAGAGAGTGACTGCTGTGACCTTTCCTTTTCCTGGAGAAAGAGTACGTGCTGGTCTGAGTTGGCTGATGAGGTGTCTGGGTAAGGACTGAAGCTGCCAACCTGCTAACGTGCCCAGATGGTGGTTTCTGAGGTCACACAGCCTTGGTTCTGACCCAGTTCCACTGTCTCCAGCTATGTGTCCCTGTGCAAGGGACAAAACCTGTCTAAGACCATTTTCTCCTCTGAACAAGAGGAAATAGTAGTATTTGCCTCCCAAGATTAAATTAGATGGTATGTGTGAAATTGATACAGCAGACATTCATTTATTAAATCAGAGTAGGTACCTACACACACGTGTAAGTGAAAGAGACTTTGAGTCCTGGAAGAGCTGAGTTCCCCAGTCTAGCTGTGCAGTCCTTGAAGGAGATGCAATGTTTCGTTTGTGACATGCTGTGAAATATGCGGGCTTATTCAGTTCCTAAATTCCTAAACTAGGTTTGTTTTCTCTGAATGGGGAAGGTCTTTGCAATCACACTGACCTTCTGTTTCCTGTCAGTCCTCCCCAGGAACGCAGGGTCCCATGGAACAGAGTAGGATATGTCCTTGTCGGCCGTGGTGTCTCCAGGTCTTGGCACCCGCTCAGCAAACACTTTGGAACCGAACAAAGCAATGTTAAAAGCGGGACCTTCTGTGGCTTTGGCCTGGGTGGCTTTCCCCACATGGGCTCCCGCATCCATGCTTCCAGGCTTTCTCTCCTTGCTGGGAGGGCCAGAAATCCCAAACGAGCTCGTCCTTTTCGGAGGTCCCTCTCTGTGTACACGCCAGAACAAAGGCCCTCTCTGTCCCTTGCTCTCAGAGGTGGGCTTGAAGTCCACCTGTTCTTTTTTCTCTCTGCTCTTTCTTATGGGCCAGCTAACTACCTGCCTGCTAGCAACGATGTGTTCATGCTCCCTGCACTCCTGATGTAAGTTCACCTAATTACTGCTGTCAGGAGCCCGGGTGGAGAGGACTCCAGGACGGAACATGAGCATGGGAGACTGAGGCAGACCAGCTTCTCTCTCGTGGAACTTGGATGCTCAGGCTCCCACAGCGCCACTGCAGGCTTTCCCAGCCGGGCCGGCAATCGAAGAGACACCTTCCCTAGCAGGTTTGAGAGCTCTTTGGAAACAAACATGGCCTGCAATGCGTCATCTCTCCTACAGCCTGTAGACCCTGACCCAGTTGAGTGTTGCATGATCTCATGGAAAGATTTACTCTTCCCGTTTCACAGATGAGAAAACTGAGGCCCTGATGAGGTCAGCAACTTGCCCAGGTAATATACATGGACCGATCGCCTTTTGGACACAATTTCGGACTCATGTGACTTTCTCAGCTGCACCTTCCGTCTTTCTCAGGAGTCGACACGGGCCCATTTCCAAGAGCAATGTTCCTGTCTCCTTAGACAAGCCCCTGGTGATTGTATAACACCCCAGAAGCAGGTTAGAGGAATCGTACCCGTAGGGAGGAGGGCTGTGGGGAGGCCAGGAGAGGCTGGTGAAGCTGGAGTTGGAGGAGAAAGCTGAGTCTGAGATAAAACCTCTGTCCCTGGCCACCACCGTGAATGGGCCCTGTGAGCCCCATCTGCGGAGGCCCAGAGCTTTTTTTTATGGGTTGCCATGGCGACCCCTGGCCTTGACAACGGAGGTGCACTTGGCTGAGTGTGCCATTGTGTCCCGCTGAGTCTGAGAAAAGCCAGAGGCTGGGACTGCAGTCAGGAAAGGAATGTCCCGAGCGCCTTCCAGCGCTTTTGTCTCGGTCCCCAGGGCAGCTGGAAGAAGAGGGGGCGTCTTTGGGGCCCCAGAGAGATCTTGGGGTCTGTTTCTAGCCAGCGATGTGTGCAAAGAGTTCATGTTCAGGGGGTCTGGGAGGCAGCGCAGTAGGGAAGTGAGTCCGACGCCACCTTCACCGGACGTTCCCTGAGCAATACAGCAGGGACCCACGTCCTGGGTCTTGGTTCAATTGAAATGAACCCTATTTCAGCTGGGCACAGGGTGGCTCACGCCTGTAAACCCAGCACTTTGGGAGGCAGAGGTGAGAGGGTTGCCTGAGTCCAGGGGTTCAAGACCAGCCTGGGCAACTTGGCGAGACTTCGTCTCTAAAATCAAAAAATTAGCCAGGTGTGGTGACACGTGCTTGTAGTTCCAGCTACTTGGAAGACTGAGGTGGAAGGATCACCTGCGTCCAGCAGGTCGAGGCTGAGGTGGCCATGAGCATGCCACCACACTCCAGCCTGGGAGACAGGTGAGACTCCTACTTGAAAAAAAAGAAGGAAAGAAAGAAATGATCCCTATTTCACAGATGAGGAAACTGAGGTACAGAGAGGTTACTTCATGTGCCCAAGATCACACAGCAGGTAAATGGGAAGCCAGGGCTGGCCAGTCGGGCGATAGGGTCCTTTTGGAGGATGCAGAGACTAGGGAGGTGCCAGGTGGAACAGTGGAAGGGGAGACACCAAAAGAGGCTGCCTCTGAAGACAGCGCCCTGCACACTACACACCCCAGAAGCCAGCAGACACCAGACAGGTGTTCAAGGCAGGCTGGCGTCAAAGGGGGACACTGCCTCTCCAGACAGCCCCTGGAGACTCGTTGCATCTGCCTCTCCAGGAGGTTGGGGACCATGCAGACCTGTGGTCCCATGCAAGTCCTCATGGTAGCTAGCAGTGGTTCTCAACCCACTTCCGCCCTTCCCCAGTGCCCAGGTCACACCTGTGAGACGCAACTCGGCCAGTCCAGGTGGGGCCCTGACACCTGGGGATACTTTTAGCTCCCGGGGAGTGTCAGGTGCAGCCAAGGCTGAGCCTCTCTGGCTTTTGAGCCCTAAGACCTTGGTCAAGCCCATTAGGCTTCTGAGCCGATCATTCAAGGCCAATCCTGCGAGCAACTGAAATTCCTGTGGAAGAGGCATAGGTGTAGCAGGTGAGCAGTCAATAAATGGCAGCCAGGACTTTTACCATGACAATTCTCCCCCAAGAGCAGACTGGAGGAGGTGCCTTCTTCCCTTCGCCTGACTTCCTCTCACTCAGAATTAAAAAGCTGAACCAAAGCCGGCTCGGTGGCTCAGCCTGTAATCCCGCGCCTTTGGGAGGCTGAGGTGAGTGAATAGCCTGAGCCCGCGGGTTCGAGACCCACCTGGGCAGCTAGACCTCATCTCTACTATAAATAAAAAAAAAACTCAGCTGGGCGTGGTAGCGCGCGCCTGCAATTCCGGCTACTTGGAAGGCTGAGGCGGAAGGATTGCTGGAGCCCAGCAGGGCGAGGCTGTGGTGGCCGGGAGCGGCCACTGCACTCCAGTCTGGGCGACAGAGTGAGACTCCAACTCAAAAAAAGAAAAAAGCCAAACCAGCATCTCTGCCCATCCTGCCCCACCCTCCCAATGCACAGGGCAGATAAGAGGCTGCAGAGAGAGTTAATTAGCATTTTAATTAAAGAAACAGGGATGGGAGCGGAGTGTGGGCCCGGGAAGCTCACTATCTGACCAGACCAAGGATCTGAGACACACAGTAAGAAATAGAACGGGTTGTTGCCCACTGCATACTCAAATAAAAACTACCTGTGTTTGCCCTGTGCTCTGACAATCCCGAGTTTGGTTAACGTATTGATTGACTGAGATTTCTCTTTCAGTTCTCATCGCATCAAGGAAAATGTTCCCATCTGATGCTAACCTGCCTTGAACACCTGTCTGGTGTCTGCTGGTCTCTGGGGACAGGAGAGGGTGGGCCAGGCCTGAGGCCATAGCCTAGGGCTGTCAACTCCGCCCAGTTTTTAACTGAGTAAACTGCTTTGGTTTGACTGTATTCTTTTCCCAGTTGCTTTTATTTGTAGCAAATGAAACTTGGGGGTCAGGTGGTGGCTCAAGCCTGTAATTCCAGCACTGCGGGAGGCTGAGGCAGGAGGATTGCTTGAGGCCAGGAGCTCAAGGTTACAGTGAGTTGTGATCATGTCATGCCACTGCACACAGCCTCAGCGATGGAGCAAGACCTTGTCTCTAAATAGATTTAAAAAAGAAGGATGAATGTTACTATCCCCATTTCACAGCTCAGGTATGTTGAGTTCATTCAAAACATAAATAAACTCCAGGAACTGTCCTGTGCTCTGGTTATAATGTTGAACAACAAAAACAAAATGCATGATCTCCATTATCTTGGGATTTATGTTTTTCTTAGCAGGAGAGCAATGTGCAATGTGCAAAATTGGGATCTGGGCACGGTGGCTCACACTTGTAATCCCAGCACTCGGGGAGGCTGAGATGAGGGAATTGCTTGAGCCCAGGAGTTTGAGACCAACCTGGACAACACAGCAAGACCTTGTCTCTACAAAAATCAAAAAGTTAGCCAGGCATGGTGGTGTGTGCCTGTAATCCCACCTACTTGAAAGGCTAAGGCAGGAGGATCTCCTGAGCCCAGGAGGTTGAGACTGCAGTGAGCCACTGCACTCCAGCCTAGGTGACAGAGTGAGACCCCAACTCAAAAAAAAAAGAAAACATTGGGGCCCAGGTAGAAAATAGAAGGAGAGCAAGAGAGGAAGCCGGGAGGCCACGTAGGAAATCATCCTCCATCCGGGAGAAAGATGATGGCAACCTGGACCCGAGCA